GGTAGTGAAGCCTGCAGATAACATCTCTGGGTTTATCAGTTGCTACACCTCTGGGTTTCAGTGCCCTGTGTGCTCTGTCTACTAGAATGTGGTTGTCTCCTGGTTTTCCCAATATTAGGTTGAAAAGTTTGTTTAGTGTTAAGTAGATATCTTCCTGTTCATTTTCTGGGAGACCCCGGATCCGCAAATTGTTGCGGCGCCCCTTATTGTCTAGATCGTCTATGGACCTATGGAGCGCGGATAGGTAGGTATTTTGGTGCTCCACCGCTGCTTGCAAGGAGCTTAGTTGTGTGTGCATGGCGTCCCGGTCATCTTCTAGGGTAACCACCCGGTCGGAAACCTGGCGGATTTCTGAGCTAAAAAAGTCCATTTTGGCCTGGACTGAGGCTTCCAGCTGGGTCAGCATACCTGCAATAACCTGCTTGGATGGTAAATTCAGCAGGATATCCTTTAGGTCTCCATCCGTTTGAGGGCCCGAGTTGTCTGAGTCTGCCAGGCTGAGGGGAGACATGCAGAGAGGCGAGGAGTCTGCCGCCATGTTGGGGCCTATCAGGCCTGCATTGCTGTGCCCGGTCTCGGAAATATTTGGTGAGTGCGCCCGATTTCCCCGACGGGGTTTTGCTGGGGGCTTGTTGGGAAGATGTGGCTCGCTTAGGGTGACCCATCGTTGTTTTTTGTGGCCCGATTAGGTCGGATTGCACTTGGCGTGGTCGGAGCGGTTTCAGAACGCGGCCATTCAGCAGCTCGGTCGGCCCCGCCCCTCCATAAATATATTCTATGTGTGTTTATTTGTTTTGTTTGTTAGTTGGTGATTCTCTAAACCTCTTTTCTTAAAATTAGATGATAAATCTCACCTTTTTATTCAGTATTAGTATTAAAAGTTAAGTTTTATTTATTCAGATATATAGTGATTAGAATGCAATATTTTTCCACTCCTACCAAGGAATATAGATTGATATTTAGTAATTTCTACTATTTTACCTTTAAATACACAGAATTCCTTCTGTCCTTCTCTTTGTTTGCTATCCAACCCAGTTTCAACCCAGTTAAAAGATATACGGAGACAAAATAAGAATTACTGTGTCTCAGTATGTTTCGTACCCCTGACAAAGCTTGAAGGTGAGCAGAGCTACCGCCTTCAAGCTTGTCATTTCCCCAGCTGTCCTGGTCTTGTTGGATCCTCAATAGACCTCAATGCTGTACTCTTGCACATGCGTAAGGGTATACAGCAGTGACATTGGCTCTTGGTTTGCAGCTAAAGCACCAGGAGCAGAAGATAAGCAGCAGGAAGAGAAGGGTGTTCCAATGATGGACAGGTTCAGGTAAGTAAAACTCACATTTGCCTGAATCCCCAGTGGCAATGTATTGTCAGGTGTCTTTGCAAATCATGCAATGTCACCAGATGGTGATAGATCCGCTTTAAAGGGACACTAAGAACTCTTAGACCACTTCATGTCAATGAAATGATCTGGGTGCAGTGTCCCTTATATTTTACCCTGCAATGATAAATATTGCAGTTTTAGTTGTTACAGCAATGTTTCTATAGCAGGCTCAGACTCTGCTCTCACAGCTAACCTCCTCAAATGCACCTCATAGAGAGCATTTGATTGGAGGAGCTCAACGCTGGCCGTGATTCTTGTCCCCAAAGCTTCTTTATGGAGGAGCACTGGATGAGAAGACAAAGAGTCAGTGTGATGTTGCAGGGTGCAGATCCAGCGGCTGCAGGGACTGGATCTTGGTGCTGGAAATAAAGGTAATACCTTTATAATGTTTTTTTTTTTTTTTAAATTTCATTTTTCTATTTTTCTAAAAGGTATGGCTTGAATCTAAAGGCAGAGGAGAACACTTTAGCATTAGGGATACAGGTTTTATTTGCTAATGTGATGGTGTTCTTTTAAGGAATTATGACACCAAAAAACCTCCACACAGTATGACAACTTAATTGAGATGAAGCTTTTATGTTGCCATACTATTTCTTTAACTTCCATGTCAATGCACCTTTGAAGAATTAAGCATTTCCTCAGTCAATTTTTCTGAAATATTGAATCCATCAGGGATACTATAGGCATTAAATGAACTTTAGGCTAATTAAACCGTTTTAGATAGATTATGCTCCTGCAGTCTCACTTCATTTTCTGCCATTTAAGAGTTAAATCACTTTTGTTTCTGTTTTTACTAGCCACACACCACCTGGCTGTGAATTACACGGCCCACATGGGGGGGGAAAAGGTAAAATTTTCCCGTTCTGATAACTTACTTTAGACGTTTTTATCTCCTGCTCTGCAAATTGTACTTTCATCACACACAGGAGACTTCTACAGGTGCTGTTAATAGAGCAGGGGGGTAATAAATTCTAGATTAAACAGACTGTGCAATACAGAAACTTAGAATATCTAGGTCCTTTTTCAGGAAGTGTTTAGAAAGGCTGTGCAAGTCACATGCAGGAAGGTGTGCCTAGACCTGTATAAGCAAAGTGATTTAACTCCTAATGTCAGAGAACTGAGCAGTGGGACTGCATGGGCATGGTCTATGCAACAGAGCTGCATCATTAAGCTAAAGTAGTTTTGGTGCCTACAGTGTCCCTTTAATTAAATGTACCAAAAAGGATTCTGTACATTACTTATTTTCAGAAATATGTTCATGTATTCTTATGCATATGGGATGTTTCTCTTTTTAATAAGAGAAACATCCTCTAATTTCAGCCTTGTGTGGGAGGAGGAGGATAATCCCTCATGTTCATCCACCATCTGTTTAAAGACCACATTTTCCTCTGCCAGGTCCTACTCCATCAGATTCTTATGTGTGGTTTTATTGTACTTGTAATTTTAGACATCTGTTTTCTCAGTAAATTTTTGTGACTCTCCCCCCCCCCCATTTTTTTTTTTAAATTAATGAATGTGAAAAAACAAACAAACACAAAATGTAAGGCTCTGGGTGGAAAAGCAATTACAACATGCCTTTACATGTGCTGATATTATACAAATAAAATAGGAATGCGTTCCCATTATATTGCACTCGCGTCTAGGTATAAAGGCGTGAGATGTCAGTTCTGTAACTTTGACTATTTAGTAGCTTAAATAAAGATGAAAAGGTAGTTCAGAATTGTTGATTTATGCTCTCTAGTGATCTAGCCTAACGAGACATATCATTCTATCAAAAAAGGAAGTACTTTTATTATAAAAAATGCATGAAACACTTTAAAAATAACATGGAATCCTTTTAAACTAGTTACTCTTTGATGTTCATCCACTTGGCTACGTTTATCTGTTCACCGTTTAAACAAATGCACACCATATTCCCCCCACAGATTTAGTGCTATGCAAAAATTGCATAGAATCTGTTTATAGACTACAACATTTTACCATTAGATTGTGATATTCCAATTAGTAGTTTTGTTGT